AGAACGCTTAACACTTGTTGTAGCAGTAAAGGGTTTTAAAGTTTTTGCCATATATTTATTACTGGCTTTTTATACTATGCCTTACGATAAAGATGTGCAATAAAAACATAATTCACTTTGTAAAAATGAAATATCTCATAATTACTTTAAAATGTACAATATTATTGTTATTCTACACTTGTTGTTTTAATTGCCGTATATAACAACTATTTGCGCTTGTAACAAATATCTTTATTGACCGTTATTTTTGTTTTGTTTTTTTTTCATGTTTTTGTTTTTGTTTATTTAACGCTAGCGCTATAACATTTAACCAATGGTGCCATTTTATTGTCAAGATTTCAAAAAGCATAAAACTTGCTAGAAATAATTTTTTATTTGAAAGTCCTTTGAATACATTTTGACATATTCATTGATATTTTCGATCAATCTATTCGTTTTATCATTGTCCCTATACGAAATTATTATCACATTCTGAAATGTATATCAGCAAATATTGCAGAAAATATTTTACTATCGAAGTAAAGAGCTTTCTAAATTAAACGATTATTAAAACAGTTGGTTACAAGTAATTAATTTAATTATATTCGCTCTCGTGTATTGAATTACTAGCAAATCGTTTACAACATCGTTTTTTAAATCTTAAATTCCTGCCTAATTAAGGAGATATTTGAAATTGACGTTTACAAAAGTTCGATACGATTTTAATAATTACATATAACATCGAAACAAGTACATACTATCAATGACAATATTGGAAATGTAATAGAATCCGCTTTATATGAGTTTTAATAAAGTTCTGCATATTTCTTACTTTTACAGTCTTATTATATCATATATTATGAAAGTGAAGTCGTGTAGTGATTAATATTAAATGCGCAACGTTATTACGTCATGAAGCTCAGTTTTAATTATTTTAAATTGATTATGTTCATTTTGACTTTTTACATATAATCGTTTTTCTTTTTTTTTTTTTTTGTTGGATTTTTAGGTTTATAAATTTAGTTTCAGATAAACATCCTTATGTCGTATCTAAAAATAAAATTATTACAAGTACGTACATTATTCCGACATTTGATTACAGTTATCATAATAAAATCTGTCTTGAATGTAGAAAGTATCATTTGCAATATTATTTTCGATTATTGAAGGTTGCTTAAAAATATTTTATTTGATTTAAAAATTATTGATAAAATATTTTACCGTTGATCTATTTTGTTGTTTCTTATTGTTCAAAGAAAATATAAAATTAATATAACAAAATTTGTATGAAAATATTCCACACGCGCCAGCCCGCTTGACCAATTTCAATATTTTAATGAAATTAAACAAATCACGTACATAAAGAAACGTTAGATTTGCCTTACATATTCTTGGATAGTAATTACAATTACAGATAAGCAACCAAAAAAATGCTTGAAACATGTTAATCTTTAGTTACATCTCTCATCGTTTTCCAATATCCTTTAAAATTCATCACGTACCATCTCTTTCACACTGTTATTAAATAGTTCGTTCGCGTTTATGCTCAGAATAAAATTAATTAAACTATTAGAGATGTCAGACGGCAAGCCAAACGGAAATGCGAACAAGCTCAATAATCAAATTGGTTTTCCCGTTAATCCGAAAAACAGCAATCGATGAAGCGTTTTATTAAATAACTTCGCCTCAAAATCCCATAAAGATAAGAACTCGCACAAAAATACAGCTCAGAAAAGATAGAGACGCCAGTCGTTTAGGCAAACGATATCATCCGGTGCCACAATCAACTCCCACCTAGCAGTCAAGGTACTACTATATTAATAAAAACTCGGCTCGATCGTATGATCTTGCAATGGACGTGCCCGTCCCGGCGCCGAAAGTCAAAAGAAAGAATCGAGACTGGCTTGACCTCGGGCGACGCACACTCGGCCGGTGAAAAATCGAAGTTGTCTGGTAAGAGCGCGTCAAGCGCTTCGCTGAGCCGATTACGAGGAGGATGGGGTGCAAAGTGAGAGAGAGAGAGAGAGACGGCTCGTTATCGGATGGGGTCGCGCACATCGATTCGACAGTTAAGTCGAGGGCACCCGGGGGACTCGTTGCGCCCGCGCTACCGACGGACGTCCTGCGCCGGGATCGCGACGTTCGCCGACGGACGAGCAAAAAGGCGCCGATGCCGCCCCTCGACTAATTGCGCGTCTGGGCATTAAACGCGTAGGGAGAAACATCATCGGCAGCCAAGGGCTCTAGCTCCAATCTTTGCAGCAATTCGTTCGCTCCCTTTCATTCTTTTCTTCATTGATGCTTTCGACTAATCTGCGTCGCTGAGAACACTTGCGTCGCACACTTGCTCCATCTAAAACGATAAATGCACCGGGCGATCATCGATGTTGCTCGATTCACGAATATTCGGGCAACTGCGTATTTTGCATGCCTAATAGCAGAATAATGAAAGCATGATGGAACGCGGCTATCGTTGCGTTTACTTTAATCGCAAATTTAACATAAATTTGTGATAAAGGATGAAGATGGGTAAATAATAGTAACGATTTTTTTTATTAAAGTGTTGTCTGTATTTGAAAATGAATAATGCGATCACAAACAGTGAATTTTGAGAATAGCTATTTTTTAAAAATTGTTCGTCTAATTATTTTTCTCAGTTTCCATACTATTACTCACATATACTATTTAATAATTTAAGTGACTTGCTACCATTTTTTATTAACGCATTATTTACATTTTTTAAACGATGAGAATCGTATGAGATTTTTTCTTCGAAGCTTATACGTATATATGGTTAATTGATTAATGTCTATGAAACATAGTTTTTTTTTTTATACTACGTATAAATCTACATAATACGTGTGTACTTGTGTGTTTTCGCGCGTATGTAGATCTGCGTTTGTTTGTGTATGCGCGCGCTCATGTGTGTGTGCGTGTGTGTGCGTGTGTGTGTGCGTGTGTCTTTTTTTTTGCGCGCGTATATATATGTATATATATATATTTATATATAGGCGCGTTAATATGCATATATATACATATATATTATTCGTATTAGAACAATTTAATATGAAGGAAACGCACAAGGCACGCGGCGTTCTTTTTTCAACCCTAGACATATTATTTCTACATTTTTTTTGTTTTTTGTTGTTTTTTTTTTTTTGTAATTGTTTGCTCAAAACTTTAGCACGTTTAAGGCATATATTACGTATTTTATTTGCAATTTTTATACGTCATTCCAAATGTATTTCATAGATACAAATTAAATATGAAAATTCAATTATTTCATTGTTTAACATTGTTATCATCAGCTTAGAAGCCTTAATTTTTATTATCAATAAATAGGAATGATGAAAATGGATAGAGCTTGTACCTCTCGTAAAAATATGCATTTACACTTAATTAGCTACTTAATAACAATCGTATTATTTGATTAGTGATCCAAACCTGGATTTCACAATAAAGCTTATAAACATTTTTAAGTGAAAATTAAGAAATTTAAAAATGCTTCCTTTACATCTATTTATGCGATGTAGTAGTTTACTGAAATGATAATGTGATGGAGGGATTCACTGAATTTACAAAAATATTACAAATCGATAGATTATTTGCTTCACATTCATCAGCATTGAAAGATGAATTTTTTCTTAATATTATTAAAAGATATAGTAATAATACAATAATAATAATAATAATAATAATATTAATAATAATAATAATAATAATAATAATAATACAATAATACAATAATATAAATCTAATTTAAAAGAACAAAACGCTTATCGCTAATGAGCTAATCAACCAGAGTAAAATAATAATGTTATTAATAGATATCGCAAATAAACAAAAAGCAGCACCAAAGGTAATACTTCCTACGTCAGGATCATATCTATAGTCTGTATTATTCCACCTCAGTACCTATTTACAATAATTTTCTTCGAGCTTGCAAGCTTTATAATTTCATCATAAACAACGAGGGCATTTAACAATAATTTATCATCGACCGCCGATTAATAACGATACAAGCTAAATAAAAACTATAGAATTAAGGAAAGCAGTCACTTGTTACGAATGGCTTAATTTTATTATTTTATGATTGTTTTCGTGCGTATCTTTTATGAATGCGTATATACGTAAGTATGCGCGTATGTGTCGTGTTTTGTGTTTGCGCGTGTACCTAGATGATTTTGCGTGCTTATTCACGGGTGGATGTGTGCGTGTGCGCGTGTTTATCGTGTGTCCTGTGAATATTTTATAAGTGACGATCCTCGTGTTAATAAGAACCTAGGGTGGGCAATTTTCGAGCAACATGCCTCTCAGAGAGCCACATTAATTAATCAACGTTCAGTTTGTTGTACCCGACACGAAAATAAACGTCACAATAAACAATAAACGATGGAGAACTAACGTGCCCATCTTTAATTTAAGAAAAAAGTGCCCTCAAACCTGCAGCAGCTGGCATCACCTCGGGAAACTATAATGTATAAATCGATGTTCCTCTTACACTCGTTTCGAGCGATTACTTCTATCAACCCCCGCACTCGCGTGGCAGAATTGACCATCGTCATTTATATACACGCACACTACTTTCTTCCATAATACCGTATCCTCTTCATTCTCATTGACTTGACCATGACAAAGAACGAAGTCGAGCATCTCCGCAGCTTCCATCCATCGCCCCATCTCAATCCCAAAACTCGGCGTACTTTTTCGTTTTACGCTCCGCGAGATCAGTTTCAAGTTTTCCGAGAGTTGGGCATCCGGCAACGACGCCCCACGGGAAAAATTCTCGGCCAAGCCCACCAAGGCTATCACAAACTTGGAAATGGCTTTCTCTTCGACGGCGTGCGCCCATTGCCGCCACCGCCACCGTCGTCGACGTCGTCGTCGCCGCCACCGCCATCGCCACCGCCACCGCCACCGCCACCGCCGCCGCCGCCGCCACCACCACCACCACCACCACCACCACCACCACCACCACCACCACCACCACCACCACCACCACCACCACCACCACCACCATCACCAGCAACTCCGCCAGCTTCTCTTCAACCTCCTCCTCTTCTTGCTCTTCCGTCGTCAATAAGCTTTCCTTATCACGGGTAACGTGGTTCTCGACGTCGACACTGCTTCCCTTCTTTACTCTCCTCCTGCTTCTCCTTATCGGCACACCGGCCCGGCCGGTCAGATACCGAGAACCGAGTGCGGTGCCGGGTGGTGCGCGTGATGCGGATGGTGCGGGTGACCCGTGGCCGCCAGGAGCGCGTGGTGATGGTGGTGGTGGTGCCCAACCAGAGGTGGTGAGCCGTTATTGTGGATGAGGCCTCCGAGCATCCCGCTCATGCTCATGCCGCCAAGGGTGAGTCCGGCCATGCCGCCGACGGGCGGGTGCCCGTGTCCCGGATGGCTGACCGCCCCGTGTCCGTCGAGCATCGGCTTCACATCGCGCTGCTCGAGTTCGCCCCGTTTTTTGCTCTGCTTGCGCTCCTTCGCGCGCCGATTCTGAAACCAGATTTTCACCTGCGCGCATACCAATTGGTACAGGTTTGCTGCATTATGCACATTCGATCGGCATGAGACGATACCTAGACGGCCCGGAAACACACCCACCACCCACCCCCCATCATCAATGAGGATGAATCATCGCTGCGATAACGAGTAATGAGATGGAAAAGTGACGGGAGGGGGATGGGTGGGTGAGGGTGGAGAGTGTAGAGGGCCGCCGGATACGTCTAGTCGTGAATAATTATTACCTGTCGCTCGGAAAGCGAGAGACTCGTCGCCAGTTCGGCTTTCCGACGGATGGTGATGTACTTGCTCGAGTAGAATTCCTTCTCGAGCTCGAGCCTCTGGTGCTCCGTGTATACCACTCTGTATTTATCCTTCGTTCGTGTTTTACCTGAAACATGCAGATGTAAGAAGCATTACACATTACCGTCGGCATTTCGTTGATTTTCTTCACAAACAGTCTACTCAGTCGACTCTCCAGCATCCAAGCATGCGCACTAACGATATTATACAAGTACGATGATCTTGTGGGTTGACGCGTTAGTATTAGCCAGTCGTGGCTATTATATTCTCAGGTGAATTGGGAGTTGCCATTATAAAATATGCGTATAGTGCAATCGTGCTGCTGTTGCCGAGTATCATGCTGCTCCGACGGTAGTTTCGAGTCCGTCGCCGTTACCGATCGTTCCGCGCTATTTCGTAATGGGCTTTTGGCTTGTGTACCAAATATTTGGATTGAAGACGCAAAGCAAAGCCCGAGAAGGTAACGCACGCTCGGTTTGTACGAAGATAAGCCTTGGAAAGCAGCCTTGGCGCGACACCTTCGCGCTTGTTTCGTTGCAACATTCGAGCTGCTGTTAGGTTGGTTCTCTTGTTGGAAAAAATTCCCGATGTGGAGATGAGACAGCGAGTTTCGAAATGCAGCACAAAAATCAGGTGTACGTATTTGCATACGGAGCGACGGATTTAATGGCGCATCATCGCGGCCGCGATCCTTGCAAGGAGGGAAAACACACTTGCATACCTACGCGACGCATTTGCACACGCGCGCGCGAGCTGACAGCAACGACGGAGATAAGCGAGCTGCCTCTTCTTCGTTCCTCCGCTTGCTTCGCTACGGGCCGTATCTCGGTAATGATAACGAATTTTATCGAGAACGCGCGAAAACACACTAACACTCTAGCAAACCCACGGGCCGACGATACATTTGTTCGCATACCGATAGGGAAAATTAATGTTTTAAACGTACTTTACGTGCATAGCGCATGATTACCGGCTGGAGGCTGATAATTTTTTTGGTTATTGCGTTGTGCGTGGCTCGCGATCGAGTGAAATGATCGCAATTAAGAGCTTTTGTCATATTTCAATCTAAGAAATTTGTCGCGCGACCCTTGGACCGCATATTTTCTATATGCAACCAAAACGGTATGTCACAGCTGGTACTGCCAGTCATGCGCAGACAGCGCAATGTTTAGAAGGGGACCATGAACGAGAGAGAAACAGGCAGAGAGAGAGAGAGAGAGAGAGAGAGAGAGAGAGGATTAGATAAGGTGTCAAGCGGCCGACATCAAAGCGAAACTCGCTAATCCAACACTCCTTGATAACCAAAGACCTTCGTAGAGGCTTCTCTATCTTCTCATATGTGTCGTCTCCTTCATTCTATCCATTATTTTTTCCTTTTTCTCGGCTCTCATCCCCCTTCGGTCGCTCTTTGTTTCACTCCGTGAACTTCTCATGTTTTTTTGTTTTTTCAGTTTTTATGTCCGTTCTTTGTTTCCGACTGACGCTAAGCCCCTTTGACATCGTATTCCTCCTTTAATTCGACAATTTGCTCGATGTTTTTTTTTCTCTTATCGAATTGTGTATGTGTTTTTTTTTCTTCTCTGACTCGTTTTCATCGTGTAGATATTGACGCGCAAGATAAGGTGAAAGTAGATATCGACCTTGTCATCAAACACGGGTCATTTGTTAGTTTTGCTGTCCTCTCAACGAATGGGATGTTTCAATTAGAGTTAATATTGTTATACTACACGTTTTTCGAGTGTCTCCTTTATTTTTTTTCTCATCGATATTATACTATTGATAAAAGCATATATCACCGTCTGTCATTTATAAGCAAATTCAATTTCAATGCTAACTAACTTTGCCATTCCATTTGACTTTTCGACATGACTTTGTTTGGACGTTAAAAGATTTTGACACAAATTTTTTGCTTTTATGTTCTGTTGTTATTTGTTGTTGTTGTTGTTTTTTTTTCTTTTTTTTTTTTTAATTGAACATGACTCTTAATAAACAAAAGTAGAGTAATGCGCGAAACGTCGAATAAAATTATGCGACTGGCTCGTGCCAACAATCTATAATACGACATAATCATTAATATATTATACGTTTGAAATTATCAATTTCTCTAATGCGACAAAATTACGAAGCAAAAGTATGCAATCGACATAACCAAGCACTTATAAATACCCTTAATCAATTTATACTTTAAGCAATGGTACGATCGATAAGAGTTTTATTATTGATTATCCTGAGGATGCAAATGTTAAACACATTGTGGCTGTTATCGTAAATAATTTGTTTCGTGCCTGATTATTATCGTATGATCGATAGTAGTTATACGTCTGATCAAAATTCCAATCGCTCACTAATTCAAATCGATCATCCGATCAATACTCGTGATCTGAAAAATATGAGAAAAACGCTCTATAATTCAGTAAGTATTTTTTTAGATAAGGCATAGTTTTCATTGGCACGAGCTACGCGTTTCGTAGGAAAAATGTCATTATCTTTAAATTTACGTCTTTTCATGTTCAATTATGTATTATAAACATACATTATAAAGTACAGGGCAGTCTATCGAAATTTTATCCGAATTAACGTACGACAAAGACAATGTTTTAAGGAATCTTCTTTCTTTCTTTCTTTTTCTTAATTTTTTTTTATTTTTGCATTATGTTGCTTAGTTTGTCCGGTAATACCACTCTAATCAGGCCTCTCTTTGCCACAATATTCGTTACGATCATTCGGAACTCTGTATACAATCAGAGATACAGCCAAGTGCAATTGAATAATATAATTAATAGTATGTCCAGCAGCACTCGAATGATCGAATTTTCTGATTGATTCCATAATGAGCTTATCGGAAATCGCGACGGTAATTAAAATTCAATGACAGGAGGCGGTATCGTCGCGTAAATCAAGATATTTTTATTTGTATTCGAAGCACAAATTGGGAGTAAATCAATATTGTGCGAGTCGAATACTAGATACCTTGTAGTGGTGGCACTGTTTTCCTAACGAGGAACCGAAGACCCTGTACCCAAATCTACAGGGTCTTCGTTTGAAAGCGGCCGTCGTGCTTGCGCACACAGAGGAGAGAAATTATCGTGGCGGCTTTTTTCATGTACGCACCATCGCCTTCGCAGACGACTGATAATGGAGGCGAGAGACGCGACGTCCCGACAGAGGCAGAGATCGCGGACAAGGGGAGATTAAGGACCGCGTGTGCGACACCTAAAGCCAATTGACTTTTACCCTCCATTGTGGTCCCGTGGATTTTTATGAAGCGGAGTGTATCGAGCGACATCACTGAGAGTAAACTATGATTTTAGGCGAATTTGGCTTGAGATGGAGAGGAAGAGCGAGAAGCGCCTCTCACCAGGATCGGCACTTTTTATAAGGACAGGGCGATTTGACAGAAGAAATTGGAATAATCAATCATCCACTCGATTATGTGAAGAATTACGAACGAACGAGCTCTACCTTTCGCTCACCGTAATATTCAATTTCTTTAAAAAGCACCGGAAAACATTAGCTCAATAGGCTCGCGATATGACACTATTAAAATAGAGTAACCCAAGTTGCGTGGTTGTTTTGCAATATTCACCAAATAACAATAAAATATCACTAGCTCCGCGTATGTACATTGTACTCTCGGTCTCGCTTCTAACTCGCTAAGTGCTTGTGCGGTTGACGGAGAGATCAAGCTCGTTGAAAATCTTTTAATTTTTATAATTCGAAGGATCCCCGAACTGCTTGCGTAAGAAAATCCGTGCAGTCGATGGGAAGAGAGGACGATTGAGACGTAACGTTCAAATAGAATCTGAGGATGAATTACAATAAGAAATAAATAAACACGAACGTCATAATTAAGATCGTGGTCGGTCCTTTTGATGCCGCTCGATCGTAAGGTCGCGGCTTTTATCGTGAGAGCGTCGCCAAGTTAAGAAGTTGAGAAATCCCGTGCGACCGCGAGGCAAAGAAGGTTCGTAGAAGCCGAGGGCCACACTCGCGGATCGTTAACGCGAGCAAAGCCAAGGGACTTTCTATCCGCGACGTCGAGGAACCTGTTTCCTACCTGTGTTTTATGCGTCATAACGCTCGGGACGATATTCATGGCGCTACACTCTTCTGTTGCGCGACGTGCGAATGTATAAAGCGACATTGACCGTTGGCCTCGTGTTTTTCATTCTCGCTATTGCTGCTGATATTGCTGCTGATATTGCTGCTGATGCTGCTCGATACCGCTGGCAATGCCGCCGCTGGCGTCGGATCCGAATTTATACGCGTGACGATTCACGAGCCTCTTCATAAACGTAAAATCAAATAAATCTCCAGGACAGCGGCCGTTGCTTTCACATTAAAGATACGACAATAGCGATATTACGGTACGAAGAGTGAAACGGGGTTTTGACGCCCGATTATGCCAGTCTCGGAGACGAGCCAGCCATCATGGGCTCGTTATTTCAACGGAAACGTGGCTGGAAATCTCGACGAGGTTAAAAAAAGAAAAGATAGAGAAGAAGAAGAAGAAGAAGAAGATGATGATGATGATGAAGAAGAAATGGAAGAGAAAGAAAGAAAAAAGAAAGAAAAATATTCTGAATTTCGTTCCTTTACGCTCTCGACACGTCAAAAGTTGGACGCGAAAAACGGGAGGAATATGAATAGGGGAACGGAGTGCAAGATCGAGGAGCGAAAAAAGAGAAAGAGATAAAAGGGAGCGGAAGAAAACGGGACTCCGGGGACTCGTTGCCACCCCATTACAACGTTTGCTCTTCCATTTCGTGCGCAGGAACGAGACCACGACGAGAAGGATGATCTCCCCCCCCCCGCCCGCTCGCCCGCCAAACCCCACCCAACCAATTCTCTCGCTGCTGCTCCCTTTCGCTTCGCGCGCCAACTTTTTCCCTTAAATAGACAGACAGAACTCCTGGCTTTCTCCCTCGGTGCCCGATCACACGGATACACGCACACGCGGCCTTCCGCTATTTTCTCTTCGACCACATCTTTCTCTTCCTTCTCGGGACCAACCCCACCCTCGTGGCACTTGGCTCGTGTAGTCGCGCGCATCCCGCAAGGTACCATTCGTCAGCCGCATCACAATTA